ACTCCGTGCACACACCACCACCCTGACTTTCAAGATGTCTTCGTGAGTTCACTTGTACAACTCTAGCTGAGGGCAGCTCTTGACCTGTCAAAGCTAAAGACTGGCGATAATGCACCAGCATGAAAAAAGAAACCACACGGATGGAAACTGCACTGTTATTGCTAGGAAACTCCTTGTATCAATCCTACAGGTCTTTCAGCATCAGCAGTGGTAGAGAAAGGATATGCCAATGGCACGATGTGGTAGATGGGACAAAGTAGCCACGTCAGGTCTTGCCACAAGTTCAGGATGTTATGTTTTTGCACCTCAAAACTACACCATGAAAAGCAAATCTGACAGAAAGAAGCATATAGGCTTATGAACACTTATAGAAGTTACGTCTCAACCACAAATATTTTCTACTGGTTTTGACCGGTTGGATGACCACTTCAATGACAACATCTTTGACACATCATGCCAAAGAAAAAGTCCTGTGTGACATTTTTGCACATTTCAACAAGGCGTCAATCTTTTCTGAACCAGCTTACACAACTCTGGTCCACATGCTGGGAATACCACCACTGACTCTTGGGCAAAGACAAATCTAAAATTTGGGGAAGCTGGGAACTCTCACCAGCTGACTTCCTCTAGCCTGCGGGGAAAGCCGGCAACAAACAGCCTGATACAGATTGGAAAAACGTGGACTGTTTTGTTAAAATTGGTGCCTGACATGCAGCAAGTGCCAGTGGAGTAACGACCCATGAGTTATTCCGCAGTTACGCTTGGTACCTATTGTCTAGGTTACCCCTTCTTCTTTTGGGTAAACTCTTCGATCTCAGATCTCTAATAACAAGGAGAATCTCCTTGCTCATTAGCAGGTTATACTGTAGAAGGGACAAGAGATCTTGTCATCTCCTTATGCCCTGGCTGAGCCATATGTAGCACAAACATCCCAAGAGAAAGCTCCGGTAAAAAGCCAGCCTTGTCGAATGCATGCGAATTGCAGTGGTTTTAAGGTGATATCATTCCTCCTACTGTTTGGCCCACGCTGTCTTGATGTCGATCAGACTGTAAATGACATGATTTGGTTGCCACCGTGCTAACCCCTGCATTCCTCTAACTCCAAGGGAGAAAGTCTCTTCTTCCTTTCTCACCTGGCTTCAAATGGAAGTCTCATGAATACTGCGGATTTAGTGCATAGTTTTATAATTGTGGTTTTATTTGAATTGCCACAAAAATGTTGGGTGAGATTAAACACAGGCTTCTCCTTTTGAAGAGGTCTGTGCTTAATATGACTTTTACACCCTGTTTTCTCACTAACTTTTAATTTTTTTTTCTCCTTTGAGTCTAGTTGCAACTTCAGCTCCTACACTGCAGTTGTGAGAGCCTTTCCTCGGTACAGTGCTAAGTGATATTTATGCATAAACTTTTGCTAATTGCTGATTCTATTGGAATTCATGAACCTATGCTGGAATGAATGAAGCTTTCATTCATGTTTATATATTAGTTTCCAACATTTGTATGTTTGTAATCATCAGGCTAAAACCAGCTTTCATTTGCAGAGATGTTAACTGAGGGTAACTGAGTCATGAGATATACTCTATTATGTACACGGAAAGATTTTTTTCTAGTATCACTGAGAGCTGAGTTTATCACAGAAACTTCCCAGTTGCGTAACTCAATGTAGTTTGTTCAGGACTGGTAAACTACATTAACAAGTGGTTTGGACCAATAGAAGTCAATCTCTAGAGCTCATTTTGTGCTGGGGACTGGACATAAGCACTTCTACAGGTCGCTGGGACTCTTGGCTCAGATAGGCTCTAAGTTTGCTCCTGTGTACTAACACTCTGTCAGTGCTGCAGCTCACCTCCCAGGCTAGTTCTGCCCAAAGAGCATCCAGGTCCTGATGTGAAGCAGTGCTCAGCAAGCGGGCAACAGTTGAGCGTTGCCTGAAAAGCGCTCTCCTGATCTAACGAACGAACACACTAACACAGACACACCCTATGCGTAAATTACAGAGACTTACACCATTAGAATATCTCTGTGGCAATCCCTAGCCATCAACAATTTTCCCAGCCATATAATTGCTACTATTAACAACACAAGTTCCCAATTTAACAAATGGAAGCAAGATAAATGCCCACATCATTCTGGCTTCTCCCAGCTTTATGATTCAGAGCGTAGCAATCTGTTGCCCTTGGTCTCTTGGAAATAGTGCCCTTGTGATAATTTTAATGACAATACAGCACTTCTTCTGGTCTGTTCTGGGTATCTGAGGGCTTTGATTGCTTTATCATGGAGGAGGTTCTGATGGTCAAGTGAATTGGGTCTATCATTCCCCAAGGATCTGTACCTTATTCTCTTCCACCCAGCTGCCCGTGTCCTCCCTCACTCTTTACACATAGCAAGAGGTAACTCAGCACAGAGACCCCAAACTGAGGAGGACACGTCAGCAGTCTGGAATCAGCAGGAACAGGAACCAGGAAGGATTCTGGTGTAGCACCATGGGAGAGGATGGGTGGTAGGAAGAGGTGATGTGATACATTGCTTAGATTTTCTGAGTCCTTTAGCATTGCTGCTTTGCAGGGGAACAGTCGCAACTGCTTTCCTCTCCAATACTCTACCACTTTCGGCACTGGCTCTTGTTTGAATGCCTCCAGAATTGGAAACCAGGCTTCCTGCCTCCCTGTATTCAAAAATTTTGTCAGTCCTTCCTTCATGTCTTGCCATGCTGCTGCTAAAAAGCATCACCTGTGTGCATAGCATTTTCATTATTATCCTTTACCCTCCTCTGAAACTGTTAACATGTTATTGCTAATCAGCTGCTTCACAGGAATCACTTATGTACATGATTTGAATATCACTTGTCCCTAAATTAAGTGTAGATTATGTCAAGTAAGACTACTTACCCTTAGATAGCAGACAGAGCCCCAGACAGACAATAGGCCAAGATGTAGAAAGGTGATATCACCTTAAAAACACTGTAATTACATGCATTCAACAAGCCTAGCCTTTTCCCTGAGCTGTCTCTGGGGATGTTTGTGCTATGTATGGCTCAGCCAGGCAACAAGGAGAGGACAAGGTCTCTTGCTCTCTTTTGCTGTCTAACCTGCTAACAAGCAAGGAGATCTTCCTTGTTATTAGAGGTCTGAGATCTGGATGGCAAACTCATGGCACCCACTCATATAGTTTGTCTATAGTAAAAGGGGGACAGATATATTGTCCCAACCCTTGATCAAACTGGCTGCCCCAGCAATACTGTTTTGAGTAGTGGTCCTTCCAGAGTCCAATATTCCAGATGAGAACAGTTTCTGTAAGCAGTTTTTTGACATGGGCCACAAAAAATGTTCAAAAAAAGCGGGGGGTGGAATCGCTGAGATAATTGATAATGTTTTTATGCAGTGACTAAACAGCTATTGAACTGTAGCTGTTGAAAAGGCAACACATTTGCACAGTCTAGTCTTGGTCACGGTATCTGCACACACATCCTATTACAAAGCAAAGTGCAAATTCCTTGATAAGCAGTAACACAGGACTGCTGCTCAGACCCACGCAAGTCCTTTGTACAGGGTAGTCCACTTGTAATTACAAATACCCCTCAATCAGTGAGGAATTCTGAAAAGGCAATACTCTTCCAGTTTGTTTTTAGGCCAAATCTACCAGGACCTGAGACTACTAAAGCCTCAGTCATTGTAATTACAATGAGGAACAACTTCACTCAACTTTAGATACACTTGCAGCTTCCTCAAAGTGCCAGCTGTATCTTGACAAAGTTTATAACTGACAGTTAAGGCTTAGTTTGTTCAGAAAAATCAAGAAAGACTGGGGTGCTAGAAAAGCTTGTCATCACTCATGTGAGAAAATAAGACAGACCCTGGTTTATTTAGCTTCACGCAGGTCACATGACGTAATTAATTCCAAATGGTTTTGTTCTCTGTACAGAAACTTCCAGCAAGAGATTTAAACGATGTAATAATTACCTTTTTCCTTTCATGAGCCTTCTGACTTTGCCTTAATTTATGATGCTTTTAACTAGCATACATGTATCCTGAGGCTATGATAGGTGCACATTTATTTAAGTCAAAAGATAAATCTTAATGAAAGGGGTTTTTTAACACAATAATTAACGTATTTTGATCATCATAACAGTAATTATTAGAGGCACAAAACCAGAATCAGATCTCAGAAGAAGCCATGAAGATCCTAAATAGGGTGGAGTAGCAGCACTGCCCTATTATTTTGCCAAGAAATGATACATCAAAGTGGCAGCAGTGAATCATCATACACTACTAGGAACTACACCCAGTGAATCCAAGAGATGGAAATATTAGATGCACTAACCTCCACCATAAATTGCAAATTATAATTGCACAGCCAATAGTGTGCACTATGCCTTTTCTCATAGTTATCAAGCTATGCTCTCCTTATGCCTCCCCCAAAAGGATCACTCATCAGATTAAAAGAAAAAACTGGAAGAACTGCAAAAACATAGGAGTTTTTGTTTGATATGAAAGGCCCATCTATTTTTAAGAAAACGATTTTATTTTGTGAAGGATTATAAGCTCTCGACATCTGTCAAATAACCCAACTGGGCAGCCCTGTTCTTTTAGAAACCTCTTACCCTCCAAAAAACCCACTTTTTTTTATGGGAGTCAAAACCAGCAATGAAAAAGAGCACACCCACTCTCACCTGCTGTCATCCTTCCCTTAGCAGAAATGACTAGTATTCTGATTTTCTGCCCAGCTATTAAATCATTGTGGCCATACACACATGCAAGCAGACTGTAACTTGCAAGCAGCCCTTTTGCAATGACACACAGTAAAAAAGTCAAACGAAAGTGAAAACATTTTTAAAAAAATATCCTACTCATTTTACCCCTGTGTTAAATTTACTTTTAAGAATTAGTTTCCCCAAACTAAAAAAAGTTTAACAATACACACAAGGGACCTCATATAAAAGAAGATGTCAGCAAAAAAAGAGGAATAAAGCATTCCTTAAAGAAAAGGATATAGTATGGTACCTTTTCCAGTCAAAGTTTCTTCTTGTATTTTCCTCACTGCTTCTTGGCCCTCACTCTCACTGTTTCCAGCTGTTACAATACAGAAAATTAAAAATTAGCGATGCAATCAACTTAAGGACAGTGAACCTAAGAATGCCACTATGAAGTGCTAACCACAGTGTAAGACCAGTAGGAAGTTTTAGGTGAAAAGTCGTGATTTGTCACTTGTCAGGCAGCGATGGTTTTTGAAGAGGGCTATACAAATGCACTGCTGTTCACACGAGTTCTGCCTGTTTATCTCATTTATTCATACAAGATAGACAGTCTGCTGGCTGGACCAGCGGAACCGAGATGTGACTCTGTGAGCCAAGTGAATTATTTCACATCCAGATTCTACAAAAGCTTCACTATAGGTCAGAGCCGACCTTCTGTCACTCTTTCACCAAAATGAGGACTTTGGCAGCTGAAGGAAAGGCCCCTACTACCCTGTCACAAATGCTCAGGAAAAATTTTACTAGCTCTAACATAAAATGTGATTAAGCATCAAATAAATGCCTTCTGTGCCATTCAGCTTGGCTGAAGAGCTAATAATTGTCTGACATTTGTTTGGCCATTTTTTTATAACAATATATCAAAGGGAAAAAACACAAGCACAAACAAAATATTGCACTTGGTAGTACAAGTTAAATTTTTCAAATTAAAAGTTTAACATTCCATTTATCCATCCACAAACATTTTCCATAGCATGACACATGAAAACACCTATTGCTTATTATCTAAATTGGATAGAAATACCGGTATCTCTTATGAACTCCATGAAGTTGCTGCCGCCTTTTCCTGAATACATAAACCTTGGTTTCTATACAGGCTTTATCTTGTGCTGCTCTACAAGTGCCCTTGTCCTCTCATTCACTTGTCAGATAAGCAGAAGAAATTTCAGGGTTTCCACAGGTGTGGGTTTTTTGGTTGTTTTTTGTTTTTTTTGGTTTTTTTTTTTTTTTTTTTGTAGAAACAGTGAATCAGCTCTATCAAAGACAAGGCAAAAATCACAACATCACACAAAAAGTTGGAAGGGATCTCAGGAGGTCATCTGCTTCAACCTCCTGCTCACGTTAGTTGACACATGCTCATATTGACTTTAAGATGTTAGAACATGCGTTCTAGTGCTATTAAACTGGATTCATTTGATCTCACAGAGAATGTGTTCAAAAAGGGGAAGTAAGCCCTTTGAGATAGATCGTGTGTCATCCATCCGTTGCACTAGCTGAAGGCTCAGAGCACCGAATGGAGATTTTGGGGTCAACCTGACCGCTTTGAGGAGGTAGGCTAATGCCTGCTTTTGAGGATGGAGTTTTTGCTGTGCTTCTGCAGTAAAAAACAGCGATTTGCATCACATCTTTGTTTTCATTATATGCAATGAGCTTCAATATTTACATAAATGTAGCCAAAATAAAGACATTCAACATTCCAGATACTGGAGAGAAAATAATTCTCACATAAAACCTAGACTCATACTGGTCTGTCACTCTTCTCTATAAATTCCATTAACTATGGAATTATATTGCTCAGACTGAACAAGAAAGAAATTACATAAAACAAAAAAAAAAAAAAAAGAAAAAAACATCAAACCAAAGCAGACATTTGAAATACCTTTTTTTTTTTTTTCCCCTTTAAAACCACCCAGCCTTGTACAGAACAGAAACATTTAGCTTGATGCTAATTTCCAGATATAGATGCAGCATCAACAAACAAACCCTCCAGTGAAACTGCCATTTCTGGGGAAATCTGTGCACACGGATTATGGGCAAGAGACCAATTTTCTTCAGTGTTTCACCTCAAGTGATGTACTAGAGTGAGATTTCAAACTCAGTGTGTTATTAAGCCGGATAGAGTTAGGCTAGAAACAAAAATACTTTGGTGTCAATTCTGTGAAGGTCTTATTTGATTCCTCTTTCATTCAGCACTCCTCACGCAGAGAACAGGCTTATTAAAGCCTCCAGTGTTTTGATTTAACTCTCAGTATGTTCACTTCATTTGTTCTTTTAAAAGAGCTTGTGCTCACAACAAATTTTAATTTGCTTTATTTTGCTGTTATATAAATGGTTATTCAGTAAAGCTCAGTGCTTTCCAAATGAGCTCATTTTATTCATATTTGCATACTTTTCACTCTAAACCACTGGGAAAAAAATAATTTTTTTCTAAACAGTCACTTCAGATGTCTGTTTCCAGCCTGATTCAACAGAGAGTTTGAAAACCAGGTTCTGGAAGCCGGAGTGTTGCAAAATTGAAATAGCCTCAGTGAAAGCTGCTACTGTAATAGAGGCTTTTGAAATGCTTCTTTCAAAGAAAATCCTGTAAGAAAGAATAAAGACACTGAACAAATGACCAAAATGCTTACAAAAAGTTCAAAGACACGTATGTCAGAAAGATACCATATGACTGGGCGAGTGATCTATGCTTCTGAGTTAGCTTAAGTACTTGAGCATCCCCTTGCTGAGGGCAGGAGAGAGAGGAAAGAGACATTGCACTGTTGTACTGCTTCTCTTCTAGTACATCCTTCTGGCATCCCTAAGCAAAGTGAGCAGTAGGCACGAAAAAGAACAACCTCCTCTTAAGTGTGACGTTAACTATTCAAAAGTCAAAAAATACTGTTTAAATCACGAAGCTAACACAGTCAGCCCTAGGTTGGGAAACATAAAAATAATTCGTAGCTTCTTGACGAAGATGGGTCACTGAAGGGCACAACCTTCAAGTGTACTGGAGTACAGCACTCTAAGCTAAGGAGGGGGACAGTTTCCTATATGAGGGTCAAATTCTTACCACCATCAGCTGGTTTAGATCCTCAGTAGCATACTCATAGTGATTCTTTAAAAAACTTTATGATACACAGAGGATCCTCTGGCTGGACATTTTGCCAGTGAATGACCATCATTTTCATACGTTCGGCATCCCAGAATTTACCCATGCCAGAACGTATCCACTTCAAGTGCTAAGATTTGCCTACTGTGGATTCAAGTGGCTTGGAGGGAAGGGTAAGAAAGGGAATGTTTTTATGCAGTGAGAGAATCTGAACAAAAAGGAAATGTTTTTATGCAGTGAGAGAATCTGAACAAAAGCCTTGTGAAAAAGGGATTCAATGTCCTGAGAGCCTGGATCATCAAAGTACCCAAAACCATAATACTCTTGCTTTTCATGCTAATGTAAAGTACCTATTGGGAACTCAAAACTGATATAGTTGTCTCAAGAACTCTTTATGTAAGCTGCTCAGTGCCCTATCTGACGTTTTTCTTCTACTTAGTCCCCACAGTATTGTGAAAAATTCAGGTAAGACTGACTCAATAACAACACTGACTATAATCAATTCTGAAAATAAAACTAATAACATAAAAATAAATTCAAGTCTGAACAGGTGCACCTATATAAAATAAGATGTCATTTTAATGGAATGAAAAATTCTAATTCTTAGTAAAATACTGAAATTCATGTTTAAAAAAAAAAAAAAAAGGTGGAAAATAGATCTAAATACAACTTTTAGTCAGAAAAATTGACTCTCCTCTTCAGCATTCATCTACACAAACACCACCAGTCAAAGCACATTGACCTAAAGCAACCAGAGAAGTACATAGAAAAACTCTTATCAGCAGCAACAGGCTTTGGATCTTACCCCAAAGGTCAGGCTCTGTCATCTTGTCATCTTAAGCACTTAAGTAGATCCTAACTCTGAAAGTTATTTCAGGGATTTCAACAGAATTATCACAGAGGGTTGCTCAGCCTGAATAAGGGTGGCAAAACCACAGCCCACAGAAAGCCAGCACAGCTGGGAAACATTTACATTATCACTAGTTAAGGGGTCCTGATACATCTGTGTGTATTCTTTATACGATGTTTTTAATTTCTTTGAATATGAAAATCTCTCCAAAAGAATAATTTATTATTGGTGTTGGCACCTCGCCGGGAGACCCCCTCAGTCACCAGTGCCTGGGGAGCCTGCCCACCCGAGACAAATGCTCCCCCTTTCACTTCGTTAGCCATAATTATGTGCCCGTTAATCAATGATGAACAACTTCCCAGGGTTTTCAGCCTGCCCCGTGGCCCGTCCCACTCCCCCCTGATCCCTTCGAGTGATCCAAGCGGTGCCCATAAACTCTAACGCACGTACACGTTACCAGGAGAACCTTGGTGGTATGCTAATAAATTCTGTATAAATGTATTTTTGATTAAGGAGCTGCAGAGGGTGATGGTTAGGCGGCTTTATGCAACAGAATATGAAAAAGCTTCCAACTGGAAATTTGAACCAAGGTGCCTCCTCAGAGTAGCATAATCCTCATTATGACTGAAGGGGAACTGATTTCATCGGAGCGCCAGCCTGAAGACAGGGCTTGCGAGGACACCCAAAGCCTCGAGAGGAAAACAAAGTCCTATCAGCTGGTGTTATGAGGACTATGATGTTGTGAGTGTGCGTGGCACTGCACAACAGACAGCATATGCCTAAGAGACAGGAATGACTGCCCCTAGAAAGCTCTGAGGATGAGAAATTTGAACTCAGTACAATACAAGTGTTTTTTAAAGGACTCTGTAATGACTTAAATTCTAAAAAAAAAATCTTGTTTAGGAAAAAGGAATATAGATCTTGGGTCTCATCCATAAAACTTCCAAGTTACGAATTTATTATTCATTAAAGCTAAGTATAAGGATGTGACATGGTACAAAAAAAAAAAAAAAAAATTGAAAAATCAATACAAAGCTTCCTCATGTCTACAAATACTACACATATGTTGTCATCCAATTCATCACACAGCAGTCACAATTAAATGCATGCCTTTCTGACATGAAAGGCAAAAATACTGTTTTAAGTGTTCCTTTGAGAAAAGAAGCAAAACTGAGTAAGGAGGAGGATGTCGGTTTGCAAAGAGAAGAGATATCATTCTTGCCCTAGGTTTCAGCAACCCAGCTGTTGCAACATGAAGCTAAGAATGATCCTGATTATCAAACCAAAGGTACATCTAGACAAGTGCCCTGTTTCCAAAAATAACCTGTTGCAGGTGCTTAAGGAAAATGTGTAAGTGACAGCACTAAGTCTAGGAGTAGTA